AGAGAGAGAGAGAGAGAGAGAATGGCAGTAATGGAGACTCTGAAATATGCATGGAGAAACAGAAAAGAAGCCCCAGCCACCCATCCTTGGTGGAGGGATGCTGGCTGCTTACCTGAGACCTGTCAGCCGGGCTGTCTTGGAATCCAGAAAAGGGGTTCAAGCTGTCTCACCCAGGACAAACCATAGCCCAGGCCACACTGTGGGACCCTCAGTAATCTGGCTGCTAGTAACACTCTTGCACATTCCTGCTTCTGTTGCCTTGGATACAGCCGGACTGGTCTAAACCGCAGGCATCAGGGGAAGCAGGCACCGGAGGGGTACACTGGGCAGGGCTGGGGGTGTTGGGGAACACCAAGTGGGCAGCACACAGTCTTGGGGTGGCCAAGTAGCTGGCAGGTGGGAGCCCCGGCAGGTGCTTTCCTCACTACACACTCCCACCCCCATCTTCATGCCACAGCCAAGCTGGGAGGGGGGCCAAGGCTGGCCCATGCACTGGTCCACCAGCTTGGTCCCCCCACCCCCCACCCAATCCCGTCTGCCTGCTGGCTGCTGCCTTTTGTCCTCAGAAGAACCAAGTAGCTGGGCGCCCCGGCAGGTGCTTTCCTCACTACACACTCCCACCCCCATCTTCATGCCACAGCCAAGCTGGGAGGGGGGCCAAGGCTGGCCCATGCACTGGTCCACCAGCTTGGTCCCCCCACCCCCCACCCAATCCCGTCTGCCTGCTGGCTGCTGCCTTTTGTCCTCAGAAGACACGGTCCCTCAGGGCCTCTGCCAAGCCTCTAGCAGCTGCTCAGGGTCCGAGGCTCCTCCCTGGGAGCACACAGACCACTGCCTGGGAGAGCCCCAGGTTGTGGGGGTCCTTTCATCCAGGCTCCCCGGGCTCCCCAGGCTTGGTGGGGATGGGAAGAGGTACCGGTCCACAGCTAGAGGCGGCAGCAGAGGTGTTGGGGAGGGGTTGGATGCCAGAAAGAGGAGGTGGGGTGGAGAGAGGCTGGCCTGATAGATGTGTCCCGGGTTTTAGATCCGGGTTGAGGAGGGCGGCTCAGAGCATTCGAGGGGGGGCCTGATGCAAGAGGGAGGACACCATGTGCCTGCCGGAAGGATTTCCCTGGCCTGAGTATCACCCTGGCTCCCACAAATTCAAATGCTAAGATGCTGGGGACACCCAGCCTAGACAGAGCATCAGAGGGAAGTCCTGGACCCTAAATTGGACCCCATCCGGCCTGTCTCTCCCCCCTCTCGATTTGCACGGTCCCTGCCTCAGGGGCGGGCTGAGGAGGGAGGGCGGCAGGGAGGGAGAGAGAGACAGAGAGAGAGAGAGAGAGAGAGAGAGAGAGAGAGAGAGAGGGACAGGGAGAGAGACAGGGAGAGAGACAGGGAGACTCCCACCCATCAGCCTGGTCCTCCCTGGGGCGGGGCAGAGAGGGAGGCTGGAGGGCCCAGAGCCACGGGCTAACTGCTGACTGGGTGGGGATGTTGGTGTGGCTGCTGTGCTGCCTTGGTAAATCATGCTTAGGCCTTTCTGAGATGCTGGAGAATGGCACTTTTGGAAGTGGGGAGAGGAAGTGGCCAAGGAGCTGCTGAGAGAGCAACTTACACAGGCTGCAAGTGCAAAGGATGTGTGGTACAGGGGTGTTCTGGGGTCTGGGTCAGGACAGACATGCAGTAAATGTTCCTCAGATGCTTTGGAATGGGAGGGATGCTTAGGGCTCTGACAGGTAGGAGAGGTTAAGTTTATTCGGACTGGGGTTCTATGGGCAGGGCCTGGAGGTGGGCAATGGCGGGGAGGAGCAAGTGTGACCAGCTCTGAACAGCTCCTATCAAACTCGCTCTTACGCCACCCGTACTTTCTCTGACCAGGGGACAGGTATGAACCTATACTCGGGGCCATGTTTCCAGACAGTGTAACAGGATAAATGAGAGCACAGGGTAGGCACAGATATGAAGACAAGGCAAAAATATTAGTTCCTAATGGGATTAAGCCAGGGATGGTGATGCCTGCCTGTAATCTCAGCACACGGGAGGCTGAGGCAGGAGGACAGCTATGAGTTTGGGGACAACCTGTGATCAATAGTGAATTCAAGGACAGCCTAAACTATATAGAAAGTTCCTGTCTCAAGACACCAAAAATAAAAAAACAAAAACCCCAAACCAAACACTAACAAAAACAAACATACCTTGCTTTGCATGGGGGCACACATCAGTAATCCCAGCACTCAGGAGGCTGAGGCAGGAGGACTGCTATGAGTTCTAGGCCATTTTAGGATTAATAGAGTTTGAGGCCAGCCTGGGCTACATAGTAAGTTTTAGGCTAGCCCAAACTATATGGAAAGACCCTGTGTGAAACAAAACAGAAAAAAAAAACCAAACAAAAAACAGCAAAAATCAAAGGAAAGCAACAAAACCCCAAATGGGATTAAATTGAGGTCAAATGATGCTGCAGTGTTTCTTCTAATTTATAGCAATGAAGAAGTCCAATTCTCTTAATGTAAGAAATGTTATTTCATTTTGTTTCTTCCCTCATATATCAGTCCATTCATCTACTAAACACAGTTTTCTGTACGTCCAGTGTTCAGCACTGATGATGCAGGTGAATCAGACTTGCTCCCTGCTCTTACGAAACCCTGCTGTTATCAAACTGCGGGCTTGGTACACATGTGCCTGTGTTTGGATCCTGTTCAGGGCTCATGAAATGTAGATTCCCTGGGGTCAATTTTCAGAAATACTCATCTGGTAGGCTGGAGATGGAGCTGTAAAGCTTGTATTTTGGCAAGACCTTCTGGTAGTTATTTTTATGTCCATGAAAGTTTGGATACTACGCTTTGGAGAGGGAGAAAAGCCCATGGATCAAAGATAAATTCACAACACAATTTAGAAAATAATTTAGATTGATTGATAATGAAAATATTACACCTGAAATCCCATGAGATGCTGCTCAGGCTGTGTTTAGGGAGAAATTTGAAGCTTTAAATTCATGTATTATAAAAAAGACTAGAAATCCATTAAAAATTTTCAGAAGAAGAGAAAATTAGAGAAATAAAAGGAGGGACCCACCGGGTGTGGTGGCACACACCTGTAATCCAAGCACTTGGGAGCTGAGGCAGGAGGATTGTCATGAGTTAGAGGCCAGTGTGAACTAAATAATGAGACACTCCCTTTAAAAAAAAAGGAGGAATAGATAAATAGGAAGGAAATAAATAACAGATGTCAGAGGCAGAGTGGGGTGGGGTGTTGATATCCAAGATAAGTAGGGAAAAAGTGCGAGAGAGTCAGAGGTTTGATAGGCAGTACAGTATAGTGGCTAGGAGCACTGGCTGGGGCCCAGACTGCTTGGGTTTAAATCCATACCTCTGATTTTCCTTGTGCATCTAGTTCCTTATCTGCTAAATTGGAGTAATAATAACTGGAGTAGTAATAGTGCTTAGGGGCTTAAGAGTAAAGGAGATGATACCTGTAAACTGCTCAGAACAGTGTGAAGACATAATCAGCAGCAAGTAACTCTTAATTAAATAAATAAGGCACCTACAGGAGTGAGATAGCCTGTAAAAAGGCTTGAAGGGTCCCAGAAGGCAAGATGTGTTTGAAGCACGTGGAAGCGATTTTGTGTGACTCAGTGAGAGATGCTCATCATGCAAGGATCAGACCCTACACTCCAGGCTAAGGATCTCAGGCTTTTTTACAAAAACAGAGATCGTGACCTGGATTCTTGGAATTTCTGTTTGTTGCTTCTGTTTGTTGTTTCGTAAGAGCAGGGAGCAAGTCTGATTCACCTGCATCATCAGTGCTGAACACTGGATGTACAGAAACTTGTTGCTCCAAGTTAGACTAGATCTGTGATCTTCCAAGACTCTCAAGAGAAAGGATTCTTCGGGTGAGGTTGTGGGCAGTGGTGAGAAAGTGAGATGAGAAAGGAATGGCTTGCACAGGAGGTAGGAGAGGCAAGATGGGCATCGCTCCCACCCCGGGAGCCTTCTTCCCCAGCAGTGGAAGAAAAGGTTCTCTCAAAAATCTGTCTCCATGGAAGAGCACATCGAAGCCAATAGGCAAGGTGGGGAGAGGACAGGGGAAATTGAGTATACTCTTACAGCCTTACACCTTCATTTTCAACCCATTCCCACATTATAGAAATGGAGGAGCTCAGTTCCTTTCTGCCTGTGCCTCTCTGTTTACCACTCTGAGCAGGCAGGGAGAGAAATTGTCTCTAGGGGATTGAAGAAATTGCTTATTTCCTTCTACTCCTTTCCCTGAAATAATTGTTTTTCTGCCACCAGGAGGGCAAAGTATCTATGTTGGGCTGCTGTGTTTTCCTTAACCAGTCCAAGCCGCACAGATTTGGAGAAAGACTGCCATGATTTACTCTGCAATCCCACTTTTTAAAAAAATTCAACTTTTTAAACCAAGCATGGTGGCACATACCTATAATCCTAGCTTTGTGGGAGGTTGAGGCAGGAGGATCTTGAGTTTGAGGCCAGCCTGGACAACTTAGCAAGACTCTGTCACACACACACAAAATTTCAACTTTCAAAATTGTGAAATATACTGTACAAATGGAAATGTGCTTAAGACTTATAGATACAGAGTGACAAATAGTTATCAAGTGAACACCCATATAACTACTGCTTAGCTCAAGAAATAGAATATTAATGGTACCCAGGATTCTTAGCATTAATGCTTCTTTTATTTAAAGAACACATTCTTATCATAAGGAATTTCCTGCTTGGTATATAAACACTTGGGAGTGGTTTGGTACATTTCAAACCCATTTTAACTGTGCTAGTTACTGAATCTAAAGAAGGTCTTCACCTGAGGCTTAAAAAAATGCTCCATTCCAACTTACTCTGAAAAATTTCTTAGAGAAAGTGTACCCACTCACCTATCAAAGAACTGTAATTTTAAAAATTATGAACATGTGAAGTGTATGGAGAGTGATATTATGACTGCACAGACACATAAACACACACATTATCCAGATTGGACAGGGAATAAGATTCTATCATATTTGTTTCACTTATTACATTTTTTCTTTTGTTGAACTATTTTTAAAGCAAGTTGCAAACACTACATCACATTCCTGTATACTTTAATATGCAATTATACAAATGGTATATTTTACTAAAACCACTATACCATTATTACATTTAAGCACCCCAACAATTTTTTGTTAATGTCTAATAACAGTAAGTCCACAACCCTGTTTATTACCATAATCAAATGCCTTTTTATAGTGGGCTTGTTCTAATGAAGGCATACACCTGTAATCCCAACTACTCAGGAGGCTGAGGCAAAAGGATTGCGAAATTAAGGACCAGCCTGGGAAACTTAGCAAGATTTTGTCGCAAAGTAAAAAAAGGTGGGGGGCTGGGGTGTAGCTCAATGACAGAGTGCTTGCCTAGTGTGTGCGAGGCCCCAGGTTCAATCTCTATTACTATAAATAAATCAATTGAATTGAATTGTTTGATATATCTCCTAATCTACAGTAGTAAGTTCTCTCTTTCCATTTTTTTGTTTCATTCCATGGACTTATTGATGCAGCTTGTAGAAGGATCCAGCTTCTT